GTTTATATCTGATCTGTGTTGTCAATTTTTCTCGTTTTTTTTTTCCTGATTTTCGGTGTTGGTTCTATGTGATGACGTCGTCACTGGTTTTGTAGAGAGACCCGTCAGAGATGACGTGGCTAACCCGGGTGCCTTGGTTATGTGCCTGATCGTGGAAGACCCCTTCAATGTGGAACGATTCTTAGCTATTGTCGATATTTTCACTGCGTGCCTAACACAGACGATCGGGAGAGGTTCGGGTGATTGTCCATTGCAATCATGGCTTTGGTTGGTTGTTCTTTTTCACTGTACGTCCGCAGACACATTCTGACAGCACTTCAGACAGCAGCTTTGTGCCCCGCCAGCTTCTTGTTCCATGCCTACCATGGTGTTTTTGTACAGACAGCACTTCAGACAGCAAGTATGCTGTAGTCGGCAATCATTCGTTTTGGTACAGAGTGGGACAGGTAGGGGGTGATGTTGCTGTAGTCGAACGGTGAGACGGACGTGTAGTTCAGTTTTGGGCACGCGTACGGTGCTGCAGGGATTATATATAGGTGTAGTAGTACCTCTTCGGGCTCTTGTACACCTTTTTCTTGCTACGTGTGCTAGATAGATCCTCACTCAGATGGCTCTAGCACTTTCGTGACCACGGGCCGAGAGTCTTTGCTAGATTTTGGCATTTAGCAACTGGCATACGGTTTAATGTGAAGTCAACAACAACATAGTTCGCGTCGAGAGCGCTGTCCCGATCTGACCGGCTTGACTCAAATAACAAAATGTCAGTCAGTCTTACTGTGCTCCCGGAGGGAAAAAATGCGAACGTTGCTGTGGTCAGTTCTACCAACTACCGAGAGTACATGCAGGAGTTGGATGGCAAGGAGGAGAAACCAAAGGTGTGTGGTTACTACATAGTCTAGACTTGACTGCTGTGATCCTCATGGATTTCAAATAATGGGAGGCCCGGAGATGCGAAAATGTTAGCACCACGCGTATCTAGACTGCTGTAGTCAAGAGTCTAAGCTCCTTTGCATCTTGGACAGAGCACGGTTGATTGTGTACAGTGCCGGGACGCTTACATTGAAAATTATCGTCACAGGAAATACTAGACCCCGAGTGGGGGGAGTTTTTTCGGCGCGCACCATCACAACAGCATAACCCGTGCTGCGGAAGTACCTGCAGTAGGCTGGGTCGTGCGGCCCCCGTGAATATGTGTTGCTTTTGTTTTGGTACACACACCCGAAATGTTGTTGATGCGATGTTGTTGATGCGAATCGTTGTTGTCAGCACTCCGTATGCGTTAATAATATGCGTAAATAAATGAAGAAGTAGAAAAAAATGCCCCACCACTCAGAAAACAGCAGCAGCAGCAGAATATTTGAACGAGCACGCGAGTTGTCGCCGATCGCGCGCCCCTCCTCACTACGCCCTGTCGTGGTCTGCAAACCACACGCGAACACCCTCTGTGATA